TATGACTTTTAAGTTTGCAGCTTAAAGCCAGCTCTGTGAGCCTCCTGTAGCCTGTAATTATATGGTTTGGCCAAGTGGACCTGCTAACTGCTTCTGTTCCGAGAAAGGGCCGGGGAGCTTTCCTGTTTGGTCTTTCAGAGACCCCAAGATGTTCCGGCTGATAAGAAGAATGCTCCGGCCCCAGCATACTCTAGATGTTCCTTCCTGTTATTTCCCCCCCCCTTATCCAATTTCCTTGTTGCAGGGCTATATAAGCCCACTCTGTAGCCCCAATAAATGGAGACCTTGACACTGCACAGATGGACTCTGGTCCTTTTCTTGCACTGCTTGGTCTTCTTCCCTTCTCTCACCCATGACTCTTTCAGGAACCCTGAATAACTGGACCCACAGGATGGGTCATAAAATATTTGTGGAGTCTGGAATATAATTTTAAATACTGAAGCATGCTGTGCATTCAGGGTGACAGAGCTGAGTCCACAAGATACATATATTCTTTCTTCCATGAAATCCCTTCACCATGTCCCAAGACCCAATCTAGTTCTTTGTGATGTCTGTGTGCTATTACAAATTGTGTGAGTTTTAAAATAATAGTCTAAGCTACACTAGTTTTTGTTCTTCTTTCATGTGATTTTGTTTTCTGTTAACTGTAAGTAACAATGAGTGGAGAATCAACTTCATAATCCAATTACAGATTGATGATATGCCTCTTTGTTCATTGACCTTTGGGAACAAAGTTGAGTATTCACTGACTTCTGTTTATCAAGAACTAAACTGCTATATTTTTGGCTTTATGCTCAGGACTAGTATGAATAGAGGCAGGCTTCAGAATGATTTTACAGTTCCCTAACACCTGTGTGTGAATTTAATTGCCTCCACCATTTTGTGAATACTCAGTCATTGAACACAGACAAATTGTAATATATTTGTTATGCTTTTCAGTGAGAGTTTTATTTGTATTTTCCAAAGGAATAAAGTGACATGTTACTTCATTACTCCATTACATTATTTTCAATAGACCACTCTTCAAGTCCTTATACATTTATGTTAGTTGTGTTGATATTCATTAATAAATTAGAGACTTCTTTATACATTCTCAATTCTTGAGATGTTAAATGAGTTTATTTCAATGTCTTCCCAATAAATGAAATTTCTGTCAACAATGTCTCAGTATCTCAAAACCTCAAATATCTAAATTTTG